ATCAGGCTGTACTTATTTTGGTAGAGAAGTAGGTGTGTGTTTGTGTGCTACAGGGGCTGGGGGTGGAGGTTTCACTGTGTACTGCTTGCTGATAGAATTACTATCCTGTATTCTAACTTTGCTTATTTCCCTCGTGTCTCTGGTGGATGTCTGTGGGGGATAAAACAAACACTGCCTTTGGATTTGATTTGTGCTGTGAATTTGCTTCTAATTGGCACCACCCACACCAAAGTTTAAAGTCAATATTTTCAGTTTCCAAAGCCAGAAGGATAAAGCCAGGCTACCACAGTGAGATTTTAAACAGCTGACAAAACATCATTGGTCTGGTCAGTGGAAAAAGCTCCTGCAGGGGCAAGGTGGGCACTGGAAATCCAATGGCTCTGCTTGCAAGCTGCTCCTTTGACTCTCCCTTCTCAGAGCCTCTGAAGGATGAGGCCTGAGGCTTGTGGCCGTGTAATGTTTCCATTGCACAGCTCACAGGGTCAGCAAGGATGTCATCCTCTGCTGAGGAGCCCTGCCAGTGTAGCTGAAGAGGAGGAACATGGGTGTATATCACTTTTAGCCTGTCCCCTAGCTGGTGGGGTTTAGTCCCGACTTCAGCATTATTTAAAATTATTTAAAAATTGTTTGGAGTCAGGACACTCTTCTTCTGTGTCTTTCTCTTGTCCACTGCTTATTTAAGAGACTTAGCTTCAAGAGAGAAAATGAAATGACCTGAGTAGTTTTAGTAAGAATGCTGTGGAGCTGCCTCTAAGTGGCATTTTTGTGTGCAAGCATGAAGATAGAGTGTCTCAAATTGATTTTGTGACTTCTGAGGTAGGTGTGTACAGACAAAGAAATGCCAGAGGCTCATGCATAGTGGTTTTTGTTGGTCATTTTTTTTGTTGTTTTTTTTTCCCTAGCAGCCAGACTAATGCTTACATTTCTGCAATGCTTCAGAAATTCATTCTAGTTGTTATTTAGTTGTTATGGATATCAGAATCAAACCAAACATTTAAATGTATTACCAAACAATCTGGTAAAACTACTTCTAAACTCTCTGCCAGATGAAGCCAGAAGCCAGACACACAAATTATTGTCAGTGTTCTTCCAAATGAATAAATTAGATCAGGTTCTTAAATCCTTCCTTGGACAGCTCAATAAAAAGACACTGGAAGAACAGCTCCACACTCCTGCCTGGCCCTTAGAACACAAAATCCAATAGGGAGATCCTAACAGTGGTGGTTAGAGCAAGCACAATACCAATCAAGCACAGTACCAGGCGTAAGGGCTGCACAGCTGCTGAGAAAGGTGTGAGGCCAAGGGCCATGTGAACACCCTGGTTCAGATCTCCCTCCCCTGCAAGACAAATGGCACACTAAGGTAAGGGTGACCTTGGCAATCTCCTTTGTTTTAGATTTCATGACCTGTGGTTCTGAACCCCACGTTCCTTGGGCTCTGGAGTTCTGTGTCTGTGGGAAAGGAATAACCCCAGTCCTGCCAAGCATTCCAAACGTGGGATAAAAAAGTGACATGTGAGGGGCTGCTGACAAGCCTCTGGGCTGACAGAGGTGACGCTCTGCTGCTGACTTAGCAGCTGACATTCTGCAGGCTGAAAGGAGATGACCAATTCACTGGGGAAGGAGGAGTTCAAAACATCACCAGAGATGAAAAGGAACTTCAGAAGTGCCTCAAGGCCCCAGCTGAGATCTTTTGAAATCCCTTTGTGCCAGGCTGTCTGCAAAATGCACAGTGCAAGAGAGCCTCACACAGGGGTGGCATGTGGAATAGGAAGGGAAAAGCAGGAGAACCAGCAGCTCCCCAACACCTCACAGGAAATCAGTGTTACAAGCAGAAACTGAATGCCAAGTCTTAGCCCCTGACCAGTGGTTTGTTACCTATTTTGTCATGACCAGCACAGGCTGATGCTTGTTTCCAGATATCGATTAGAAGGGTGAAAATAATCCTTTACAGGTGTAACTTTTTTCTGAAAATATGAGCAGTTCTATTAACCAGAGATGATGGCCAGGTTGTGTGATTTGGGGGCAGGCATTCTCTGCCTCCTTGAAAAAGTGTATTTCAGAAGGAAGGCTTAACCAAGTGCCTGCCTGTCTCCAAAACAGCTCATGTGAGCTGTGTGCCAAGGGACGAGAGGAGGCAGAGACACACTTTGAGAAGAGTGATGCCCATTCTTGCAGCCCCTCAAAAATATCAGCCCCTTATATGGCCTGAACTTCAGTGTGAGTTGAAGCTGTCAGACATGATTTAATTCTTGCTGAGTGCTCTTTGACTCCTCTCAGAGTCCCAGAATGAAGCTGAGGTCAGGGGCTGGGTGTCTGCTGGCTGCTAGCCCTGCCACAGCTTTGGGGACAGCACCTTATGGTCATGTAATGAGGATCAATACATCTCACCATAGGGCTGATCACTTGTCCCCATGTGCTGGGACTGCCCATCTCCAGTGCTGAGGGCTGAGACGAGGCACAATAATGGCATTGAAAGGAAAGTTGTGCCTTCTGCCCAGTAATTAATGTTTCCCTTCTATGTGCACTTCCACACAGAATGGGCTGGATGGCTTCACATTGAGCTGGAACATCCAAACCCATTGATGCCATTTCAAGAAAGTGCAGCACAACAATGGCAAAACCATCACTGTTTTTATTCATCTCCCTTTTAGAGATTGGGTTATCAGTGGTAACTCGATCCCTGCTTATTTTTAGTAGAGTAGCTCTCATCCTTGTTATATGCAAGCATTATGTTTGCTGCAGTCTGATCCTAAATCCATAATACAATAGAGGGAGGAAAGGGCCAGCCACCTTTAGGGAAGGTCTCCTAATTAATGTCAGCAAAGTGTTTGGGTCTGCTAAGATGGTTGGTCCTCAGAATATTAAAATTTCAAATGATTAGCTTGGATTGCAAAAAATGGGAGTATATTTTTGTAAGCATTTTCCTGGAATTGGTTCAGATATCCAAGTGTTCATTGGTCAGTAATAAAATTCTGATCATTTAAATGTCTGCAATAAATCAAAAGCTTTTTTTTTCTCAGAAGCAGCAGCTCAGATGTTATCCTTTTAAATGTTATAAATATACTTGCAGTAATGACTGTAACACCAGTTCCTTTATATACACAGAAATTAGCCTTGATGATCAATATTATTCTTTATGGGTTTTGTATTGAAATAAATTTAGAAATTTATTAATATATACTATTACAGCTCACTTATTCATATAAATCTTACAGCTAAAAGGGAATATTATATCAGTTTATCTCATCCCTTGTAAAGCAGATTGTGCAGTTTCTTTAGAGTAGCCTGTTCAAATAAGTGTATCTCACACTTGGATTTTAGGACCTGTGTGTTCTGTGGTCTTTAGGTGGCTGTTTTTAGCAAGCCCCTTACAGTAAGACAATAATTTGCCATTTTCCCTGTTGTGACTAGCTTTTGCAAAAATTTCTGCTTGCTATATTGACTCCACCAAGGTGCCGGTTCCTTGAAACCCTTTCATTTAACCTTGGAGACAGGTGAACTTCTTTGATATGATATAATCAAGTCTAACTGCTTTTTTCCTGTAAATGCTGACTTGTTCTGCACCAATGGCAAGACACTAACTGATTTCAGTATAGTCAAAATTTAATCCTGCCTTTTCTTGTAGTAGGGGATCAATATTGTTGTACACCTGTATTCCTCCAGTCAGGGCTTTCCATTAACAAATCCAGGGAAGGCATTCCAAGGCTGCATGACTGCATCACCAAGCAGCGGGCACTTTTCTCTCAGTCTAGGCTACTTCAAAATTTGTTATGTCATGTGGGCATAAAGCATATTAAATATGAGTTGGAGTTGGGTCCTTTAGTAAGAACTATGGCTAAAGAACCACTATATTTTCTCTAAGTTATAGCAGAATCAGAGAAAAGAGACCTGTTCTGTTTCCACCCTGCATCCCCAGAGTGGGTATTAATTGTGTGTTGACTTTTACCTTGTGGAAGCTTTTTTCCTCTTAATTAATTTCCTCAGTGTAACAAACACATATGATTTTTGTAATAGTGATTGTCATTTTTCTGAGATTTTACCATGGAGAAATGCAAAATTGGAGAATGGAGAATTTACTCTGGGGAAAGAGCTGTCTGCAGAAACTCATGGTGCCCTTCTAACACTGTAATCCTAGGCAGCCCAGGGAAATTTAGGGAAAATTTCTGGATGGAAAAGTGCTGCTAGTTCTGTTAAATCCTGTTAAAAAGCCATACATGGAGAAATGAAGTTTAAACAAGGCTTGGGGAAGCTGTTAAAGAGAAAATTTGTTGTTTTATGTAGTCTTTATTCTTACCATTAAAGCTGCTTTTGTTTTGTTGCAGACTTGCACTGTAAAAATTGTCAGGAAGCAATAAGAAAATAGTGAAATGATCCAAGCCCTGAACGAATGCCTTTAAGGTTATAATTTCCATTCCTTCAGTTGATTTTCCCTGGCAGAACTGTAAGGAAAACTCTACTCCATTAAATACCAGAAAATCCATGGTGCTAAAGTTAAGCAGATATTTGCAAGTATCCCCTAAATTTTGCTGATGAAGTCGTGTATTTTGTTAGTAGATATTTCTAGAATAGATGGCATCTGATGGTGATGATTCTAGAATAAGTGACATTTATACCTTACATGTGTGTGTACATGGCCATTTTAAACATCTGTCTCTGTAGGTAACAGTGGAATTTACTGCATTCATTTCTGGTTGCCCCTCTGGGGCTCTGGAATTTCAGTTCTGATATCTGCTAATAGGGAATTTCAGGATGTCTTGTTTCAAACGCTGAAAAAAATGAAAAAAAAAAGAAATGAAAAAAAGAAAATAAGAAAGCAGCAGCATCATCAACACAGAACATCACGATAGCAGATTAAATATAGACATGGATTACAGAGCCATTGTTTTCACTCCTGCTAAATAAGACAGTACACTTAAAATGGAATGCCACTTGACCTTTTGTGTCTCTTGGGTCTGTGGCTGTATTTAACTGCTGCAGGGAGGAAACATTTCCCCCTGGAACTGTCCCCTGCTGATATGACGATCGCTGCTGCTGGGTCACACCATGCTCAAGAGGCAGAATCCCAGAGCTCCAGAGCACAGGAGGGATCTTGCAGCCGATGGAGGAGCTCTGTCCATGTCTCACAATGACTCACGCTCTTTTTTCAACTTATCTCAGCTGGTGCTCTCTGCTGGCCAAATCAAACCATCACCAGCGCTCAAACATTCAAAAATCACCTACTTTGAAGTAGAGATTGTTGATGTGCAAAGCAAGAAGCAGATCTGCATTGTGGACAAGGTGAGTGTACTATCCCAGCACGCTGGGGCTGCGCCCGGCTCACACGGTGCCAGTTCAGGGACTCTGTGTTCTTATTCTGTAGAAGTACTTTCATTCCCTTCTCTGGGAGACACTAAGAATTCCTTCTGAGTCATAACCCTGGGCTGGTCTTCTCCAGGATTTTTACAAACAATCCTGCACTGGTTTGTTTTAGACCTCTTGGCAGCTCTGTGGGCTCAAAGCTACGTCCTTAGGCTGACTCTTGACACTTAGATCACAGTGTCTATTTCAGAGCACGATACTTAAACATTTGTTTCAGAATGGATACTCATTTTTAATACATTTGTAAAGCCTACCATCTCTGCAATGCTATGAGTACATAAATGTACTGGTGCCTAAATGTACTCAACTGTTCCCTGCTTATTAGATTTGACCTGGCACTTGTAAAAAATTTAATTTTAAACAAAGGGTCTCAGCTAAAAGAGGTGCTTTGAAATTTTGTTTGGTTTGTTTGTTTTAATAATGTGAGTAAAAAAATATAAACTACAGCCAAATTGCATAAGTAGGATGAGAGGACTGGGTAGGACGGAAGTTCATGAACCCACAAATAACAGGTAAAAGTGCTTAATAAATATTTTGATCACAGTTTTCATAATTCATTGTCCCTCGGTGAAATAGTTGGTCTCTTTCATGCCATGAAAATGGGAATCCTAATCTATTTAGCCTATGGAATTTTCAGTAAATTAGTGGAGTTTTGGGACTTACTGTTTTTGTAGAAAAAAATTCCCTTTTCCTCATTGGCAACAGCTGGAACAGGTAGATAAGTTTGCTTCAAATGTTTAATGCCTTTGAAATATGCAGGGTGGAATGCTACCAGATTTCCAGTGTTCTTGGTCTATTAAAGGGTGTTTTTGCAATTTGTGTGCCTAGTTAAAGGTAAATGTCTCATTTGTTAATTCTGAATGGGGCAAAATATTTTTTGCTAGTTTTTCTACACCTAGCCAAAGAGGAAACATGCACAAAATGGTCAAATAGGATGACTATTAATAACAATTTTGATGGTAGTGTTCACATTACTTTACTGAGTGATATTTACACAGTTGTTAGCTTATCTACATACATTTAGAAATAGGTTTTGATCAAAAGAAAGACAAATATGTTTCTTGTCTTGAGCTTTTCTATAATGTCATTAAAATACGTATAGTACAGAAACAACATTAGGCAAAGAGCCACATTTCAGGAATCCTTCCATGCTGCATGCTGCTGGGATGATACCAGACATGTGTTTTAATCTTTATTTTCAGTTTTTCTGACCCTGAAGATTTTCTACACCTCCTCCAAACCATGGACTCTACCCCTGTAGTAGTGAAAAGAGAGACTTGAGTGGTGATTGCTAAGTAATCTTTATTCAGAGGTAAAATACACACAGGGTAGCAATAACAGCTATAAGTCTCTGCTCAGAAACAGAAATATATGTTCAATTTACATGGCCAGCAGTATGGGCTTTTAAAAAAAATATTTTTGGCACAGTACCAAGGAATTGGTAGAAGTATAGTAAAAGGCTGAGATTTCCAAGACTGCCTAAAGAATTTGGTTTCTGAATGCTCATTCACCTGGCTGTTTATTTTAATTGCTGTGATAATCCCTAAGTCAACCCTGAAGTTACAGAAATTGAGTTCCTTGCTTCCATGGACACTTGTTAGTATTGGTGAACTTAATTTCAGTTGGTTGTTAGAGCAAACAAGAGGCTGGTGTACTGGATTGTGCATAATTTTCTGTTTAATTAAATATAACTGGTAAAGGCCCAACAAGAGAATCCTAATGCCCGTTTTCTGTTTCTGAGATAGTTATGATTAACTTAATTTCTTGGGTTTGCATGTAATTACTGCTTGCCAGAATAGGAACCATAGATTTTAAAATGCATGTATTTAGACTCTTATTGCCTATTGCTAGTGGTTCAGAATATTATGATTTAGCAAATGAGTTTATAATATTCTCAGACTAATACATCTAAAGGGGAAATTTTTATTATAATGGTAGAGAGAAGAACCCTTTCTTTCTCCACCCAACAGAAACTCAGGCGGAGTGATTCAATGCTTAATGCTCTGTGGTTAAACACCAGGAGCTGATTCAAAGAGGCTGAGTTTCTCTGAGATCCTTGCATGTGCCTATGAATCCCATTCAGAGTAGTGGGAGCTCTGTAAAGTCTTCAGAATTATGGTACATTTAACTAGTTCTGGAATTTAGCAAGAAATAATTTCCTTCCTCAATACAGTATCAGGAATTTATAAAAGGTGTGTTTGGCTGTGTCATCTTGAGAAATCAGTTGGCATCAATCCAAAAGTTTTGAATCTAGCACAATTAATTCTCTGAATTAATTCTCCATTTAGAAATGGAAAAATAGCATTATTTCATTTAGTTTTCTTTCCTATCTTATACTTTTGGGAAGGATCAGTCACGTATATTAAGTGGTTATTATAAGTTATTGATTGTCTTTAACTTCAAGGAACAGAAACACGTTCACACCCTGTTGCAGGCTTTCCCACAACTAGGAAAAGGCAGAAAAAAATAATGAAAGGAAGCAGAAGAAGTGAAAAATCCCAGACATTTTGGTGCCATAGTCATCTCCTGCAGGAGCTGGGTTTGGAGGAAAATTACTTAATCTTGCAAAACTTAAATTCACACGAGTCAGCAACACTGGCAGTTTATTTTGCACATGCACACTGTGAACATGAAATTCTTTATAGGAGTACAATTTCTTTTATTTAATATTGTCAACCTGTTCTGGGAACTTTCTGTGGTATGGATATGACATTATGCAAGCAGTTTGGTGCACATGAGCTTTTCCAGTGAGTTACTTAAAGAATTTAGAAAAGAAATAATAGCAGTGTGAGATCTTTCCCCCAGATTTGCTCTTGAAATTTATTCTGAGGTGATTTGACATGGAGAGGAGGCTTCTGATTTTGGAGGATGGGGAGGAATCACAAACCAACTTCAGGGTGGTTTTTTTTTTCAGTTATTCTACAAAATGTCGCCAAACTGGGGGAACTCTCCAAGGAGGGAAAGTTATTTAAATTTAGGCTACAACTGTCCTTAAAAGCAGTATATAAATGATCAGAGGAGGTGTCTTGGGACAAGGCACTGAAGTTCTGAGGAGGTTTACAGACAGCCTGCTGCTCCACACAGTGCCCATGACAGGACAACAGTCCAGGGGTCTGGGCCACTTTGCAGGACAGCACCCTGGGTTTTCTTTCCTGTTTTCCCCACTTCCCAGAGAGGCAGACCCAGGAGAGGATGTCCCTGAGCAGAAAGGTTTTTACCCAAGCATCCAAAGGCTTTACATGAGCTGGTGCCTGAAAGCCACAATTAAGAAAATTTAGCCAAGAAATTTGACCCATATTTTTATAGTCAAGGCATGGTAAGCAAGAGTTGAATGACTTGTGGGCCAATGTTCAGCTCTTTAACATGCACAGCAATACTGCATTTGTGTGAAGATATTCTGTAGCTGAAACATGAATCATACACATTTCTTGCTCAGTGAGTGAAAGAAGTATTTAGCAAGGAAAAAATCTCTTCTTTGGCCAGTGTAAAAAAGCAGGTGAGCCTAGATAATCAAAAGTCCCTTTTTTCCCTTTTCCCTTTCCTCACAATTTATTCATTTGTATGGATGAAATTCCTATCTCTGTGTAAAGAGGAAAGCATTTGATTAAAGATTACTTGTAAGAAATACTTTCAATTAAATAGCATCACAAAATGTCTAAGGATTTTGGCTTCTGTGTTGCTTGCAAAAAGCCACAGAAAACAGCAGAACACGCAAAAATCATCAAGTCTTATAAATGAAAGAAAACAATTCCTTTTTGTACTTTTTAACAAATAACCCACATTTTTTTGCCACCCACAACTTATGAAAAATACATGGCTACTCAAAAACTGTTTCCCTCATACATTGTTCCGAAAACCTGATGTAGGTTGGTTTAAAAGTTATTGATGTGCAGTGATTTGATTTATATATGCTGTTAAAGCAACTCATAACTGTTTCTTTTATAGCATTCATTGTATAATATTTTTTTCTTCAAATTAACTTGTAGTAAAATGTATTTCCCCACAAACATGGTGCAATGTAATTAACTTTGCATGAGTTGCTTTTAAGGCAGGAAATGTTACACAGTACAGTTTTTACAGAATAAATCACCTCTGGAGAAACCAGCAGAGAAAGCTTTTTCCCATCAAAAGCCTCAGAGCTCAGTAGTTTTGTGCTGTACGATTTTGCAAGTTAAGCTGTAAACAGAGGTGCAAACTCAGGTTTTGGCTGCTGTGCAGTGACCCCCCTTTTCAGAACACTTCCTAAGGCCTGCAGAGGAGAGCTTGCTTCTTCAGATGTGCAGGAAGAGCCTCTTTCCTTGTTGTGTTGCAAAGATATTGGAGGCTACTTTCCTACTGATCCTGAAGCCAGCTCTCCATCCTCTACGCAGTGCCTTCTCCCACTGAAATGTCTTTGTAAAACCCAAAATTGGACATTTATGGCTCACAGTACATGATGGAGGAACTTCTAGCTGTGTGTTTGTGAGCTGTAGGCACTGTTTGCTGTGCAATGCCTACAATGAATGTCATGGGAATATTGTTATTTTTAAGGAATTAAAATGCCCTTGCACACAAATCTATGTATCAACTCAGTCACTTGTACATACTCAACACTTCCTGCAGTTAAATATTACAGTGTGTATATCTCTACATCCTTTGCAAAGATGAATCAGGGCTTATTCTGATTGCTCTGAAAGGCCTGTTTTTCTCTGAAGGAGCTATAGGTTTTTTTTTTTTGGTTTGTTTGTTTCTGTTTTGTTTATTGAAAAGCACCTGAAGCAGCAGTGTCTTTGTACCTGTATGCTATGGCATAACAATGCAATGAATTTCCACTGGCATATCAGCAAAGCCATTTGCATGCAAAAATGCTGTCTCTGGTATCAGAAATCTCTTTCTCTTGCCTGTGGGTTGCAGCTCTGTCACAGAAAGTGAACAGCCGA